CTGTCCCATTTCGTTCATTTCCCCTAATACTTCCGTCTCCCTATTCGGTCGCGCTCTCCCGCGCCCTCCTAGGCTTCCCGCGCCCTCCTTTTGGCATCTCCCCTATTTCGTTCCGTCGCTCGGCGCTCCTAGGGCCTCCGCACTCGCCCGGCCTTCCTAGGCCGGTCCACCGGTCACGTGTCGGGCGCCCGAGGACCCTCCCCTTCTCTCATTGGACCATCTTTCGTTGCGTTGATGGATTACTCATCTACTATATAGTCGCCTGTCGCACCAGGGAGCAACCCAGACTTGTTCTCTCAGTTGCTTCCCTGCCTTGTGCGACAGGTATGTGTATTTCCCCTCGTATCTTCGTATATATACTCAGTTGCTTCCCTGCCTTGTGCGACAGCGTCTCCACCGCCGTCCCGGGGGATCCGCGCCGCTCCTAGGAGCTCCAGCGCGTACTCTGACAACTATCACAATGGGTTGCCAATATGGAGATCAATCCCCTATATCCTCGACAATATGCAGGTAACTCTAGCCCATCCAAGATCATCAAGATCGCGACCCTGGCAACCCACAAGGCCCTCGGTGGCATAGCATATGCCAAACGACCCAAGTTCTGGATGATGAGTCCGGTGGGTTCTCCACGTTGGTTGGCGTCCTACTCTCAACAAAGCCGACAGTGGGAGACCGAGCAAATGGACCTCTACGTCAATTCCGTCACTCAGCATTGTTACGACTTCCCGGACGCCAACTTGATCCTGTCATGGCACGCCTCCAGTACTCATCTTTCCCTGTTTCCCCCGCATTCCCCACACGCTCTTTTTACCCTTTCAGGTTTCCTAGGAGCTCCCAGATGCTCCTTCTATTCTTTTGGGGCTTCCTAGGAGCTCCATACATTCCTCTATCCTTTCGGGTCTCCTAGGGCCTCCGCACATTGCGCAGCCTTCCTAGGCTGTTCCACTGGTCACGTGCCGGGCACCCGAGGAGCCTCCCTCTCTCTCATTGGAACATCCCTTGTGCTGCTGATGGATTACTCAGCTACTATATAGTTGCCTGTCGCACCAGGGAGCAACTCAGACTTGTTCTCTCAGTTGCTTCCCTGCCTTGTGCGACAGGTATGTCATCTGAAAAAATCTTGATCTATATAGCTGCCCCTCAGAGCTATGGACACTATTGTCGTGCTATGGATGCTATATAGAAGTCGCCCAGTTGCTATATAGTGCTATGGTTGCTATGTAGAAGTAGGTCAGTTGCTATATAGTGCTATATAGTGATTATAGGTAATATAGTTCAAAGTACTAGCTACATAGTGATGCATAGTTCATAGGTGCAGTCAACATAGCACCCATAGATTTGGTATGTATCTGTATACTGTACTTTTACGACCATAAGTTCGTCCCCGTTCCCCCCCTACCCTTGAACTGAACCTAAATCAGGGTTTTGTCCCCTGTCCCCTCCCATTTCGGCTGAACCTTACTAACCGTGGGAGTTATCAACACTTACTGTGAGAACAAAGCAATCTGATTGATATCAGTTCATGAACTTCCCACGAGTCTGAACTTACAGCGTGTCCCCTGTCCCCAAGGGGTCCGCTTGAACTTATGGTCGTAAAAGTACATAGTGGTGATAGCAGGGCTCCCAACTTACACCTTCCATGATCTAAGTCAGTCTCAGGTCCTGAACTGTAATGTTAGGCTATACATTGTCAGATATATGCATGAATAAACTATGTATAAGGTTGCTAAGTATCAAGGAGCTTGTGCTATGTGAATGGACACAGTGGCCAGCGCGGACTTAGAGATTCAACGCGAAATCACGTGTCACGTGACAGCCCGAGTCCCCTCCGGTTTGTCATCTTAGCCGCTGGCGGCCTCGAACACTCGCCCCGCGCCCTCCCACTCCGCCCCCAGCGTCGAGCGTGACCCTCACGCTCGGCGTCGCCTCCCTTCTTGCCCCCGCACACCGCCCAGCCTCGAGCGTGAGCCGCCAACGCGGTCGCGCTCGGCGTCGCCTCGCCCCCTCGCCCCTCCTTCCCACAGCACCGAGCGCGAGCCGCCAACGCGGTCGCGCTCGGCGTCGCCTCCTACCCTCGTGGCCCCCCTTTGCCCGACGCCGAGTACGAGCCGCCAACGCGGTCGCGCTCGGTGTTGCCCCCGTCCTCGCCCTTGCGCTCCCCTTCGCCCAACGCTGAGCGCAAGCCGCCAACGCGGTCGTACTCGGTGTCGCCTCGCCCCCTCGCCCCTCCTTCCCACAGCACCGAGCGCGAGCCACCAACA